GTGAGCAGTGCCTGTGATTTGTTGCGACATGGAAAGGGTCTTCAGCATCAGGCGAGATGGGGGCTGGGGCAGGGGATGGAGGTGCTGAGGGTTATTTGTTTGGTAATTTATATTTGTAAAATTAGTTGTAATCATATCATTGCCATTCATGGGTTTATCACCCACACATATGACACCTACACACCTGCACACCTCCACACCTGGACACACACACACACACACACACACACACACACACACACACACACACACACACACACACACACACACACACACACACACACACACACACACACACACACACACACACACACACACACACACACACACACACAAATATGCACAAAATCATATCTGTTCTACTTACACACACAAACTTCTGCTGCATGCACACACATCTGTGTTACATACACCCACACACTTTTGCTACACACGTGCTCTCCACCCACATACATATGCACAGGGATGTGTGCAGTTGAAGATGTGGGTGTGCCACGTTGTAAGGTAAAATGAAAGTATGAGGATCCCGTGTATAAGTAAAAGCATAAGCCCCTGTCCATCAATAGGTGACACTCATCATCTTAGGATTAATAATGGTCCAAGGCCTCATCAACAAACAGCATTCTTTGGATTACAGTTTATAAATCTGGTGTGTGTTTTTGATCATGATCATTAGTATGAGCTTAATAATTAAGTAATAAAGTAACACCCATTATAATCAAGGATCACCTACTGTATACATGTGTTATGTGCACTGTATATGTAGTAGGCCTATATATCAGATTTTTTTATATATTCATGTAGAGCTGTTAAGAGAAACGTATCACAAGATGAAATATTCAAACTTGTTCCTTTTCTTTACAGGAATCTTGAAGGAATTCTTGGATTTGCATGAATAGCCGTCTCATGCAAGTTTCAAGCTTTACCCTCAAGAAGTTAGAATACGCTTGAGCAGCTGTTTTTAGATTGCATAGATAATAATAGAGCTGAAGCCGTCAGCTAAGCTAAGATAACTCAAGATGGAGGGAAACATCGTTGTGAAGGAAGTGCGGATCTTGGAGACTGCCGATGACATCCAGGATCGCCGAGAGCAAGTGCTTTCTCGGTACTCTCAGTTCCGTTCGGATGCTCGCCTGAAGAGGGAAAAGCTTGAGGATTCTCGCAAGTTCCAGGTATGTTTAGTTTAGTGAAGTTGTTTGATTTACATATGTATTTTTTCTCACAGAAGTAAATATAAATGAAAGTAGTGTTGATTTCTGTTGAGTTTAAGGTATAGGGTTTCTCTTTGTTTTTGACAGTATATATATAGGATTTCTCTCACTTTTCACTTCTTTGTTACTGTCTGTCTCTCCCTCTTTGCTTCTCCCACCCCAGTGTCTCTTCATGTGCATGTTGGTATTAACTTTCCTTTTTGTGTTTGTATTTCAGTACTTCAAGCGTGATGCTGATGAACTGGAATCATGGATCCACGAGAAACTCCAGGCTGCTTCCGATGAGAGCTACAAGGATCCCACCAACCTTCAGGCTAAGATCCAGAAACACCAGGCCTTTGAGGCTGAGGTGGCTGCCCACTCTAATGCCATTGTAGTCTTGGACAACACTGGCTCGGAGATGATCAGTCAGCAGCACTTTGCCTCAGATGTCATTAGGCAGAAGCTTGGTAAGTGTCTTGTGCTTAGATGTTCAAGGATAATGATGTGTATATTTCTGTATCATATAAACTTTTTTGATTTTGTAATTGTCTTTGGTGATTCTTAACTTCCTGAAGTTGAGAGTGCATGTGTACATGCACTACTCACAGTGGATTTATTTTATTGATTTTATTTGCACAGAAGGCTTCATAAGTGCTTAATCACCAAAGAATTGTGTGCTAGGCCTATCATACTTCCCCAGTTCTTTCAATTTTCTTGAAAGTTTATATTGTTTTTCTGTTGTTGATAACTTGAAAATAAGGATATCAATAATGATTACAGTAATAAAAGTAGAAACCTAATCTGAACAGTTTGAAGGAAAGGGTAAATGAAGCCACATTTTAAAAAAGAAAACTGAGAAGCCAAACCATAGTGGACTGTGCATGTACCCAGTTTTAAAAATATACAATTAATTTTAACAGATGAGTTACACCGTCTGTGGGAGCTACTCCTGAGGCGTCTGGCTGACAAGGGCATGAGACTCCAGCAGGCCTTGGTACTGGTGCAATTCCAGCGCCAGTGTGACGAAGTCATGTACTGGATCAATGATAAGGAGACGTTTGTAACGTCGGAGGAGTTTGGCATTGACTTAGAGCATGTAGAAGTTCTCCAGCGCAAGTTTGATGAGTTCCAGAAGGACATGGCTGCCCAGGAATACAGGGTCACTGAGGTTAACACCTTGGCCGAAAAGCTGATTACTGAAGGCCACCCCGAAGTGGATGTCATCAACAAAAGGAAGAAGGACCTGAATGAGGCCTGGCAGCGACTGCGTCAGTTTGCTCTCACCCGACAGGAGAAATTGTTTGGTGCCCATGAAATTCAGAGATTTAACAGGTAATGCAGATATTGAATATGGCAAAAGAAAAACTTGATACTTGTATCATTTCTGTGATGCATGTTTCTTAACACAAGTAAAAATGGGTGATATTATAAAATCCTTAGCTTTATTGATCAAATCTGAATTGCAGTTTTGAACTATGGTACTAACTGCATGTTGTTTTAATTAGTTCTAGATTCCATTTCATGTTACAACCAGGAATTTGAGTAGGCAAAAAGAAAAGCTTTGCTTTTAATGAAAATTATTTATCTAAAAGATGCCTATTATGTGTAGATCATTTAACTTATTATTGCAAAAAAATCCATAAGTGTAGTTGAGTGTAATGGATATAAACTCTATAACCTAAATCTTGTGTTTTTCTATGCTCAAGATGGAAATTAAATAGCAAAGGAATATGGAGTTGTTTGTACAGGAAAGGAGTAGACTGAAGTTGTATAATGAAAATTTGGGAAGGAAGCCAATTACAAGGAAATTAATTCTTTCTTGAATATGTTTTGGATTATGTTTTTAATCAGATAGCCCTGCAAATGAGTTATATTACTTTTAATTGCATGTATATATATATATATATATATTATATATATATATATATATATATATATATATATATATATATATATATATATATATATATATATAAAGTATGTATATGTATTTTTTATTTTATTTTGTCATTTCAAGTTTTGTTTGTAGTTCATGTAGGTATATATATCTTCTGTTGTGATGATGATAATGATTATTATTATTATTATATTATAATGATAATAATGATAATAATAATAATGATAATGATAATTAATAATAATATTATTATTATTATTATTATTATTATTATTATATTATTATTATTATTATTATTATTATTATTATTATTATTATTATTATTATTATTATTATTATATTGTTATTATTATTATTATTATTATTATTATTATTATTATTATTATTATTATTTTATTATTATTATTATTATTATTATTATTATTGTTATTGTTAATTTTTAAGATTATTGTTATTATTTATATAATTGTTATTGTCACCATTATTATTGTTGTTGTATATCTTGAGTATAGTATTATCACTTTTATTACTTAAGTTATTATTGATATTATTTATAATTATAGTCAGAAAGATTATTTTATAATTATTTTTACTTTTCTTTTAATTTTTTTTACTTTGCTTTACTCATAAGTAATGTGATATTCCAGAGATGCTGATGAAACCATTGCTTGGGTAGCTGAAAAGGATGTAGTTTTGTCCTCTGATGACTATGGCCGTGACCTAGCATCTGTCCAGACCCTCCAGCGCAAGCATGAGGGTTTAGAACGTGACCTTGCTGCTCTGGAGGACAAGGTGTCCACCTTAGGGGAAGAAGCCACTCGTCTCTGTGGCATCCATACTGACCATGCTGAGCAGATCAAGGCTAAACTGGCAGAGATTGAACATTCTTGGTCTACTTTGACTGCGAAGGCCCAGGAACGACGCAGGCGCCTGGATGATTCTTACTATCTGCATAGGTTCCTGTCTGACTTCCGTGACCTCATCTCATGGATCAATGACATGCGAGCTATCATCTCTGCAGATGAGCTGGCCAAGGATGTTGCTGGAGCTGAAGCTCTTCTTGAACGCCACCAGGAGCACAAGGGTGAAATTGATGCCCGTGAAGACAGCTTCAAGAGCACTCATGCAGCAGGTGAGATGCTGGTAGAGAAGGACCATCATGCTGCTACTGAGGTTAAAGAGAAGCTGGGCACTTTGACACAAGAAAAGGCTGCTCTCCTTGCTTTGTGGGAAGAGCGACGCATCCTGTATGAGCAGTGCATGGACTTGCAACTCTTCTACAGGGACACTGAACAGGCTGACACCTGGATGGCTAAACAAGAAGCTTTCCTGGAGAATGAGGACTTGGGAGATTCCATTGATTCTGTTGAAGCTCTGATCAAGAAGCATGAGGACTTTGAGAAGTCTCTTGCTGCTCAGGAGGAGAAGATTAAGGCTCTTGATGAATTTGCAACCAAGCTAATTGAGGGTCAGCACTATGCAGCTGATGATGTCGCCCAGAGGCGTGAACTGCTGCTTGAGCGGCGCACTGCTTTGCTTGAGATGTCTGCACGGCGCCGAGCCATGCTAGAGGATTCTTACCGGCTGCAGCAGTTTGAAAGGGACTGTGATGAGACCAAGGGATGGATCAATGAGAAGCTTAAATTTGCTACAGATGACAGCTATTTGGACCCAACCAACTTGAATGGAAAAGTGCAGAAACACCAGAACTTCGACCAGGAACTGAGTGCCAACAAGTCTCGTATTGAGGAAATCATATCGACTGGCAAAGAGCTCTTGGAAAGCAAGCACTATGCCAGTGAAAGGATTGGTAGTCGTATGGAGGAAATAGTTCAGCTTTGGACATCACTTGAGGAAGCTACACGTAGCAAGGGCTCAAAGCTTGAGGAGGCTTCTCAACAGCAGCAGTTCAACCGAGGAGTGGAGGATATTGAGCTTTGGCTTTCAGAGATTGAGGGCCAGCTTATGAGTGAAGATTATGGAAAAGACCTGACTGGAGTCCAAAATCTGTTGAAGAAGCATGCCCTTCTGGAAGCAGATGTCAGCTCCCACCAAGACAGGATTGATGGGGTTCGCATTGCTGCAGATCAGTTTGTTGACCGTGGACATTTTGATGCTGAGAACATCAAGGCCAAGCAGCTAGCCCTGCAAGAGCGCTACAATGCACTTCAGAAACCAATGGGTCTCCGCAAGGAACGACTCAAGGACTCTCTCCTTGTGCAACAACTCTTTAGGGACATTGATGATGAAGAGGCCTGGATCAGGGAGAAGGAACCCATTGCAGCTTCCACCAACCGTGGTCGGGATCTGATTGGAGTCCAAAATCTTATTAAGAAACACCAAGCCGTATTGGCTGAAATTAACAACCATGAACACCGCATCACTGCTGTTACTACATCTGGGGAAGAGATGATTGGAGATGGACATTTTGCAGGTGAAGAGATCAAGCAGAGGGTGAACACTCTCAGCCAGCACTGGGCACAATTGAAGGAGCGTGCCAACCAACGTCGTCAGGATCTTGAGGATTCTCTTCAGGCACACCAATACTTTGCTGATGCTAATGAAGCTGAATCTTGGATGAAGGAGAAGGAACCCATTGCTGCAGGTGGGGACTTTGGCAAAGATGAAGACTCAGCTGAGGCTCTGCTAAAGAAGCATGAGGCTCTCATGAGTGATCTGGAGGCCTTCAGCTCAACCATCACTGCCCTCGATGAACAGGCTGCAGCATGTCGCCAGCAGGAAGTGCCAGTTATGGACATCACTGGAAAGGAGTGTGTTGTGGCTCTCTATGACTACACTGAGAAATCTCCAAGGGAGGTTTCTATGAAGAAGAATGATGTGCTCACTCTTCTCAATGCAACCAACAAGGATTGGTGGAAGGTGGAAGTTAATGACCGCCAAGGCTTTGTGCCAGCTGCCTATGTCAAGAAGATTGACTCAGGCTTAACAGCCTCCCAGCAAAACCTGGCTGACAGCAATTCTATTGCTGCTCGCCAAAACCAGATCAAGGTGAGATTTTGTATTTATTGAGTGATTTAAAGGGGGAATGTGTGAGAATATCTCCTTCTTAAGACATTCTTGGCCATTTCAATAACTTTGAATTTCCAATTTCAGGCACAATATGAGAATCTGATGGCCATGGCTCGTGAACGCCAAAAGAAGCTGAGTGAGACTGTGCAGGCCTATGTGCTGGTGCGTGAAGCTGCGGAGCTGGCTCAGTGGATCAAGGACAAGGAGCAGCATGCCCAGATTGAGGATGTTGGCGAAGATCTTGAGCAGGTTGGTGAACTGATTAGTATGCCAAATACTCTATGACATGAAACAATGTAAAGAAATTGGAAGCAATGTAATAAGCCAATGGAAAATATTTATATAAAATTTGTTTGTGTAGGTGTGTTTTATTGGTATATGATTGTGTTGAACACTGCATTGCTCTCTCTTCTCTTCTCTACTTTTCCCCATTCTGCCTTTCCTCAACAATGCTCCATTCTGATTTTCCTTCTCTACCTTTCCTTCTTTGCCTTTTCTCTCATCTTTTTTTCTTTTTCTCTTTTTCTTTATCCTATTCCTTCCCTTCCTCTCCACTCCCCCTCCCTCTCTCCACCTCCTCTCATTCTCTTCGTTCTTGCCTTCTCTTTCTCTCTTTCTCCTCTTCTTCCTCTCCCCTCTCTCTCTGTCCTCTCTCTTTTCCCTCTCTCTCTTCTCTCTCTTTTCCCTCTCTCTCTTCTCTCTCTCTTTTCCCTCTCTCTCCTCTCTCTCTCTCTCTCTCTCCCTCTCTCCCCCTCTCCCCCTCTCTCCCCTCTCTCTCTATCTCCCCTCTCTCTCTATCTCCCTTCTCTCTTTTTCTCCCCCACCCTCTCTCCCTCTCTCGACAGAAATGCATTATATGTATTTATTGTTCCTCTCAGGTTGAAGTGCTGCAGAAGAAGTTTGATGACTTCAAAACTGACCTACAAGCCAATGAGGTTCGCCTTGCTGAGATGAATGAAATTGCAATGCAACTGATGAGTCTTGGCCAGACAGAAGCTGCTCTTAAGATCCAGACCCAGATTGAGGAGCTCAACACTAAATGGAATTCACTTCAGCAAATGGCACAGGTTGGTTTCTGGGAAGATCCCTAAACATCTGATAAGATTTTGCAGCTTTCATATCTGCATACTGCAAAACTTTGTTATTATTTAAGTTTTGATATAATGCTGTAACATCATTTTTTAGGAGCGTCAGTTCCAACTTGGCTCAGCTCATGAAGTGCAGCGATTCCATCGTGATGTGGATGAAACCAAGGATTGGATCCAGGAGAAGGATGAAGCTTTGAACAATGATGACTGTGGCAAAGACTTGCGCTCTGTACAAGCTCTGCAGCGTAAACACGAAGGTTAGTTTTACTGCAGATGAAATGAGTGACAGAATGAATCATTATGATTGTGTCTGTGTGTTGTCAGGAAACAAGAGCTTCCAATATGTATTCCACACTTGCAGGTCTTGAGCGTGATCTTGCTGCCCTCGGCGACAAAATCCGCCAGCTGGATGAGACCGCCAACCGACTCATGCAGACCCATCCTGATGCTGCTGACACCATTTATGGAAAGCAGAGGGAGATCAATGAGCTGTGGACTCAGTTAACTGCAAAGGTATACTTCCTGGAGTTTTGTTTTCCTTCAGTTGTTTCAAGGTCAGCTCTTCCTGAGTTCCTGGTTATTTAAATTTGATGATATATCATCTTTTATTATCTGATATTTACAAATCTTTAAACATTTTGTTATTTTATGTAGTATTTATTAACCTTTAACCACTTTATTATTTTTCTCTGCTATTATCTGTATTGTATAGAAATACAACTTACTGACTTATCCTAAATTTTCCAGGCCAATGCCCGCAAGGAGAAACTCTTGGACTCTTATGACCTGCAGCGCTTCCTCAGTGACTACCGTGATCTGAGCTCTTGGATTGCTTCCATGATGGGTCTTGTTAGCTCTGATGAGCTGGCTACAGACGTGACTGGTGCAGAAGCCCTTCTGGAAAGACATCAGGTAGGGTGACACTTTTACTATGGTTTGTGGAGTGCCTATACTTGTTGGTCAGGGCATCTGTCTGTAGTTGGGGAGATGCACATATCGTCATTTGTCTTAAATCTGATGTAGCAGTATTTTGTTAAATTCTTGTGCAACTCTCAAGCCAGATTGGATGCCATTGATCCAATATTTCCCTCGTAATACTAAGCCCTCAAGTTTGTTGTTTGTTTTTTAATTGATGTTCCCTTTAGATAATGAGATTGTACATGGAAGATTGACTACATCATTGCAGTTTGATTTGTAAATATATGTAGGGGAAAAAATTAACAACTAGTTCTAAATGAGTAGGGAGTGATTAAACTATTTACAGGTGGAAGTGACAAGTTCAAAAGACGGCCAAGTGATCAAATTGTAAAATAATCATAGCTGTAGAGGTGGGGGATTCGAGCAAAGTAATCAGTATCCTCACTCCCATAGTTATTAAAACCTCATGTGCCATGTGTGTTCTATCTAATATTTTAAAAAGGATCATGAGTTCAGTTTCTTTTAAATGTTTACATCATTAAAAACTTTCTCATTCTCCTTGTATAAAAAAGTAACTGTGAGGAATCCTTGTCTTCTAACATATTTAAACTAGTTAAGTGAATAGCTTAAGTGACTCTACCAGTGGTAACAAGTCACCTTCCTTTTCTAGAACTTCCGTGCCGAGTTTGACTCTCGCTATGGTATCCCTCAGGTATTGAGTTGTGTCGTAGGTTGTCTAGCGCACTCTACTGACTGCTGTGTTCTCTCCTTTGAGTGTTTATTGGGCCATGGGCAGTGCTCTAGTTATGTATTAGATGCTGGGTACTAATGACTTCAGCCTGTGTTTGGCCACATATGTAGATTATTACTGTAGAAGGGCATTTACTGTTGCTTAAAGTTTTTCTCCTTTTTTTATTTATTCATTTTTATCTCATGTCGGCTTTTGAATTAAGCATCAGTTAGTGCCCTTCTCCTCTATTTTTCCTGTAAATGTAACTGATAATAGCATGGGTACTATTTTGGAAGTCATATGTCCATTTTGCACTGTAAGAGTGGTAGGAGCTCTTGCTGTTAACAAGTGAGGTAATTATGTCACACCTGTCCAGGACAAACTGAACACAGAGAATGTTTGAAGCAGAATCAGACTAAAAGCAACAGTGTTCAGAGACACAATCAGGAGCCAAGACCTATTTGGTTGTTAAGGTGGTAGGACATCCTATACAATATACGTATGTCTAGTTCATAATGATTATTAATGTGTGCGTAGTATGCTGTTACTAACATTCATATTTAACCCATTTATGCAGCTGTATTACTTGATAGACAGGATATATTGATATTCATTTTATAAATTTTACAAAGAGATCAGTTTGATCTTCAGATTTTTTTTTTTTTTTTATGAGATAGACTTACAGATGAAAGATATAAATGCTAGTGTATTATGTATCTGTGATCATCCACACAACTCTACAAATATGGGTACATCAGTCTGTACATGTATTGCTCACACTTTAGCATTCACTATAAGTAACTCGAAGCCAACACATATCTTTGATATGACTGATGAGACAAAATATGATGGTGGGAATACTGGATGAGAAGTTGTGGTGAAGTTTCCTGTTTCAGGCAATCTTTCTGTTTTTTTATATGAATGCCTTTATTTTTTTCAGCTTTTAGCCCTAACAAATGGCTGTAGAGATGGCTATGATAGCAGCTTTGATAGCATTGTTCTAATTGACCTAACAAAATGTGTGACTTGACGTAGATAGAGAAAATAGTTAGCTAAACTAATCAGTGATTGAGACTTATGAAACTGATGAACATGTCTTGTTCTATGACCAGCTTGATTGAGTGTGTGAAGGAAGTGTGAGACGATAATTTGACTTCAACTACACCAGAAGAGTAATACTTCTTCACGCTGATGTGATGTGGAGCGAGTTTTCACACACTTGCCTACATCTGAGCAGTAACTGTGGATGTGATTCTGTAGAGATGGAATGTTGTTAAGAACTGGAATATTATTGCAGTCTTTTTATGGGCAATGTGATACTAATAATGTTGATGATAGGATGAATAATAGCAGTAATAGCAATGATAATAAGAATAATGGTGATATGAATAATGATAATGATATTCAGCCTTGTCATTATAAGATATGGCAAACAACAAAATTACTATTGTTTGTCAAATGGCTTGCACTGACAATTCTCTTATTACTGACCTATATGGAGAAGTGGAACTTACTGAAAGGGCTGCTATTGGTGATGCTAATAAGAGAACAATATCTGAAATAGATTTGGACAGCAAGAGTGATTATTATGGTGCAGATTAATGGATGGGTTCCTTTCAAATTAAGGATCACAAAAGTCTTGTTCAGCAGTACTCAAGATTTGGACTAGATTGCAACACACTACAGGTTGTTGGTTTATGAGATTGACTTCACAAAAACACCTGGGCACCGAGAAGCACCATGCACTGTAATTCTTTCTCATTTAAGCTACAGTATCTGTTATTTAACACATTCCCAAGCACAGTTGAGCACAGACCATTCAAAATTTTGTTGCATGGAAAAATTGTGTAATATAAGTTAGTTCATAATTACAATATAAAGGGAAATTATTTTTTCAAATGTGAAAAAAAAGAAAAGTAAAAATCTGAAAATGAAAAACAAACAAGAACAACCTTGATGTAATACTATTATACAAACAAGTTCAGCATATGTAGTATATGAAATATATTGAAAAAGAGACAATAAACAGTACAGTCATTTCTATTAAGTAAAAATCTAGCTTTTATTAGAAATCTTGATATTTCTTCATAACAAGTGAGAGAAACTGGAAATTTAGATATACCTTTTTTGGTAATATGTAAAAGATAATTTGACTGAGTCAGTCCTAAATTTTGCATATAATTTGTCAACCATTTATTAAGTTAGTTTTTAAAATCTAACAGGGAATATCTTTTTGTGACAAAATAGAATAGATAATGTCTTTTACAGATATGTAATTTTTCCAATGTCTGATCACATATTAAGTTCCTGTTCAGAAAAGAGCCATAGTGCCAAAATATGTATATGAAAAAATTGAAAAGCATGAATGTTACAGAATACAGTTTTCTTTCATAAGAATAACCTGGTGTGCATTATGTAGCCTTTTTTAAAAATTTTTATTCCTTTATTCTCGCTTAACAGAGAATATGAACATTTCTGTTACACTTTTTGTTCAGTGAATAACACCAAATCGGGGCAGTGACCATGCAGATATGACCATCTTTCGTTTAAGGAACATATTGCCCATTGACCATGATATTAACCTCCTCCTGTTGGGTTTCAGGAACACCGCACAGAAATCGATGCCAGGGCTGGAACCTTCCAGGCTTTCGAGCTCTTTGGTCATCAGCTCCTGCAGTCAGGCCACTTTGCCTCTGCTGAAGTTCAGGAGAAGCTGGATGCCATGAACGAAGCTCGGCAGGATCTGGAAAGGTAAGTTTTGATTCTGTGACTGACTCTTTAAGAATAGGCAACTCTTAGAACCTCCTACAAAACTCCCAAGAAAGAAGTTAGTACACACAAAAAGCTACTTTAGTTCATGCAGACATTGGACATTGTTATTGTAACATTTGGTTATTGAATATTGTAATATCTACACTTCTGTTGACATTTTGTGAATCTGATAAATGTGTTTTTCAAATTAGACAAACATAATATTGTATGACTTGTTTTTATTGTGACCAGAATTGGTGTTCTTCATCTTAACTTGTATTTTTTTTGTAATTAGGGCTTGGATTGCACGGCGCATGAAGTTGGACCAGTGCTTGGAATTGCAGCTGTTCTACCGTGACTGTGAACAAGCAGAAAACTGGATGTCATCTAGGGAAGCCTTCCTATCCTCTGATGAAGCTGATGCCAAGTCAGACAATGTTGAAGCTCTTATCAAGAAGCACGAGGACTTTGATAAGGCTATCAATGCACAAGAAGAGAAGATTGCTGCACTCAACATCTTTGCTGATCAGTTGGTTGCTGCTGAACATTATGCCAGCAAGGATATTGGTGATAAGAGAAGCCAGGTGCTGGAACGCTGGCAGCATCTCAAGGAAGCCCTGATTGAGAAACGCTCTAAGCTTGGTGAGTCACAGACTCTCCAGCAGTTCTCTCGTGATGCTGATGAAATTGAAAATTGGATTGCTGAAAAGCTCCAGGTTGCCACAGAGGAGAGCTTCAAGGATCCTGCAAACATCCAGTCAAAGCACCAGAAACATCAGGCATTCGAGGCTGAGTTGGCTGCCAATGCTGACAGGATCCAAGCTGTTCTTGCTATGGGTCAGAACCTCATTGACAAACACCAGTGTGCAGGATCAGAAGAGGCTGTGCAGCAAAGGCTGGAATCCATCTCTGAGCAGTGGGACTTCTTGACTCAGAAGTCTGCTGAAAAGTCTCTGAAGCTCAAGGAAGCCAACAAGCAGCGCACATTCATTGCTGCTGTCAAGGACTTGGACTTCTGGCTTGGGGAGGTGGAATCTCTCCTTACCAATGAGGATGTTGGCAAAGACCTTGCTAGTGTCCAGAATTTGATGAAAAAACATCAGTTGGTTGAGGCTGACATCCAGGCTCATGAAGATCGCATTAATGACATGAACGGGCAGGCTGATTCCCTTGTGGAAAGTGGTCAGTTTGACACTGCCAACATTCAGGAGAAGCGCCAGAGCATCAATGAACGATATGAGCGCATCAAGAACCTGGCTGCTCATCGTCAGTCACGCCTGAATGAGGCTCTCACCCTCCACCAGTTCTTCCGTGACATTGCAGATGAAGAATCCTGGATTAAGGAAAAGAAACTGCTTGTGGCATCGGAGGACTATGGTCGTGACCTCACTGGTGTCCAGAACCTCCGCAAGAAACACAAGCGTCTTGAGGCTGAGCTAGCATCTCATGAGCCTGCCATCCAATCAGTGCAAGAGGCTGGTGAGAAACTTATGGGCGTCTCAAATGTTGGTGTTTCCGAAATTGAATCCCGCCTGCAGCAACTGTCTGAGACATGGTCCCAGCTGAAGGCAATGGCTGACCAAAGAGGCCAGAAATTGGACCAGTCTCTCATTTACCAGCAGTTCTTGGCCAAGGTGGAAGAGGAAGAGGCCTGGATAAGTGAGAAAACCCAGCTACTCTCTGTTCCTGATTATGGAGATAACATGGCTGCTGCACAGGGACTCCTGAAGAAGCATGACGCTTTTGAAACCGACTTTGCCGTGCATCGTGACCGTTGCAATGATGTGTGTGAGGCTGGTTCGAAGCTGGTAGGAGAAGGCAATCACCATGCTGAATCCATCAAGCAGAGGTGCCAGCAGTTGAAGGACAAACTAGAGGCCCTCAGTGGTATTGCTGCACGAAGGAAGAGCAAGTTGGCCGATAGCCTGGCTTATCTGCAGTTCATCTGGAAGGCTGATGTTGTCGAGTCTTGGATTGCTGACAAGGAGAGCCATGTTAAGTCTGAGGAGTTTGGACGAGATCTTTCTACTGTCCAGACTCTCCTTACAAAACAGGAGACATTTGATGCTGGTAAGTATAATTAGCTGTAAATTTGCTGCATGAATTAATGAAGGAACGTTACTCTAAAGGACTCAAGCATTAATAATTTGAAGGTAGATTTCATACATTTGCTAAAGTTTATATCCTTGCTATACCATCATTGTCTTTATCCCGTCTCAGGTTTGGCTGCCTTTGAAAATGAGGGCATCCAGAATATCACTGCCCTTAAGGATCAACTGGTGTCTGGTAACCATGAGCAGTCTGAATCCATCATCAAGCGCCATGGCGATGTGATTGCACGCTGGAAGAAGCTTCTTGACGACTCTCTCGACCGCAAGAAGAAACTGCAAGTCATGCAGGTGAAATACGTGGATTTTTATCTGTTTTCAGTCTGGCACTGATATTGTCACAGTTTTATGCCTGCTGGTAGAAAAATTACTAAAAGTTGTCTTTTCTTTTTATTCCTCATTAACAGGAGCGGTTCCGACAAATCGAGGAGCTGTACCTGTTCTTTGCCAAGAAGGCTTCTGCTTTCAACTCTTGGTTTGAGAATGCTGAAGAAGATCTCACTGATCCTGTGCGTTGCAACAGGTAAGAGTAAAGATTTCTAGACTTTCTTCCCAATTTTTTATATGGATAGTAAACTGTTGTTACTTGGTACACAGAACTCTGTATACAGAAATTAATAAAAGTATAGCTTTCACTTAAATGTTCAGTATCTTTATTATGTGAATATGAAGTTCATTTGCATTTGCACTTAGCCATATATTTTATTAACAGCATTGAAGAGATTCGGGCACTGCGTGAAGCACATGCCCAGTTCCAGGCTTCTCTGTCTTCAGCCCAAGCTGACTTTGAGGCCCTGGCTGCCCTAGACCAGCAGATCAAGAGCTACAATGTGGGACCAAATCCTTACACTTGGTTCACCATGGAAGCCCTGGAAGATACCTGGCGTAACCTGCAGAAGATCATCAAGGTAAGCTTCATTGTTTAGAGCAATGATCATTGCCAAGTTTATAACTTGACGGCATTTCTGTTAATGCATTTCACTTAATTCAAACACTGAAGAATAGCAAGGTGATATTTCCATGTAGCTTCAGAATTCAGAAGTGATGCTTTTAAACTTTCATAGAATACGGAGATACTTATATGTAATTATACAACAGGAACGAGACATGGAACTTGCCAAGGAAGCACAGAGACAGGAAGAGAATGACAAACTACGAAAGGAGTTTGCCAAGCATGCCAATGCTTTCCACCAGCTGTTGACAGATACCAGGTAAAGGCCTATTGTTTAGATTTATTGTTAGGTAGGATTGTTATGAAAAGACATAAGAATTTCCTGATAATGTT